AGTCAATAATATTGAACAGGTATTGGAGGGTACTTTGATTAATACTAAATAAAAAATGTCTTGTCAACCAAAGTTAAAAATAATACAGTGGAATGCTCGTTCTGCTGTCTCAAATAAAAATAGCATGATGATATATGATTTTAATGGGTATAATCTGGTTCGTAATGATAGGTTGGATGGTTATGGTGGAGTTGCTATACTTATAAATAAGTCAATTTGTTTTACTGAACTAAAAATTAACAATAATAATTACAATAATGAAATACAGTTATGTGCTATAAAAATTAAATATGGGAATAATCAAATTAGTTTTATGTCACTATATAGAGCCCGAAAATAAGATGCACAATAAATGATTGGATAAATATATTTTCCCAGTTACAAAACCAGATATCATAGGAGGTGATTTTAATGCCCATCATACTATTTGGGGTTCAAGTACAAATGATGGAATCGGAGTACAGCTGATTAAAATGGCAGATGATCTTGAATTTACAGTTTTCTCAACCTAATCAGAATTACTCAATGATTGATGTTACTTTCTGCAGTCCTGATCTTGTTAGTAAGACTGAATGGTCTATCTCTTCAGACACTCTAGGATCAAATAATTTTGTTATACAGGTGGATATTTGCATTAAAGCCGAAACAGAAAAAATATTACCGAAAAATAAATGGAACATCAAAAAGCTAATTGGCCTTTATATACTTCTTTAGTACAAAACTTTTTGAATCAAAATACTGAAATTCCAAAAAACACATCAAGCAAATATGAACATTTATTGAATGGTATAAATTATGCTGCTCACATTGCAATACCACAATATAAACCTTTTAGGCCAAAAACTCGAAACCCTCCACCGTGGTGGAATTCTGAATGTGACACGATTATTAAAAACCGGCAATTTTCACTCATGAATTATAAAAAAGAACGTAATTTTGAGAACTGTATAAAATGCCAATCAAACATGGCAAGTACAAAAAAACAACTAAAAAGTATTGCGAAACAAAGCTGGGTCAATTGGGTTTCTTCTCTCAATAAATCAATACCATCATCAGTACTTTGGACGCAAGCTAGAAAGTTATACAGAAAATCACCTACAAAAAAAAATCTTTTGAAGATATTTGGATAGAAGGGTTTTTTGACATAATTGCTCCTCCAACAGTGATATCTATGCCTAATAAACCTAGTAAAATAGTGACCGACAAAAGCCATTTTTTACTTCAACCGATTAAACAGACAGAACTAAGCTATGTTTTAAATAATCGTCCTAGCACAAGTCCCGGTTATGACCACATTAAGTATCCTATGCTTGATATGCTTCCTCCAACCGCTAAAGATCTCTTATTGGAAATATTTAACGAAGTTCTCTCTGCAGGTACGGATGAATTTAAAGAAGTTATTGTCATTCCAATTTTAAAGCCAATGAAGGATCCGAATCTCTCAAAATCATACAGACCAATTTCACTTATGTCTTGTGTTCTTTGTGTTCTCAAAGTATTAGAAAGGATACTAAAAGTAAGACTCGAATGGTGGATAAGTGAGACAAAACTACTTCCAAATTCTTAGTTCGGTTATAGACAAGGATGTGGTACTTTGGATGCACTCGCTACCGTAGTAACTCACATTCAAAATGCATATTCTCGTAATACGTATGTACCACTTTTATGTTTGGATATTGAAGGTGCATATGACAGTGTTAATTTAGATATACTAAAAGAAAAAATGATTCATCAATTCCAAATACCTTCCCTACTAACCAAAATATTGTCAATTTCTACTTAAACAGGAAAATATATATTAGGAAGGAAAACAATCAACTCATTGGACCACGTTTTAATAGTTCGGGTCTTCCACATGGCTCAGTTTTAAGTCCACTTCTATTTAATCTTTACACAGCCGATTTTCATAATATTAGTATCGAAAAAATTTCATTTAATACAATACAATATGCAGATGACTTCTGTATCTATAAGGAATCTAAAAGTTACAATAACGGCTTAAACACATTGGAAAGTTTTCATGAACATTGCTGTAGGTGGTTTAAAAAAAAATGGTTTTGATTTGGCAAACAACAAGTCTAACATGTGTATGATATATAAAATATTTGGGTATGATTTTGGATACAAAACTGACCTGGAAACTACATGTTGATTTTATGCTTGATAGATGTAATAAAGCACTAAACTTTCTAAAATCAATTTCAAAAACTTGGTGGGGTGCAGATGTTGAAACGTGTCTTCTATTTTATCGTTCTTATATCAGGTCCATTATAGATTATGGCTCTGTACTTTACGGCTCCGCTAGTAACAATATTTTACGTCGTATAGATGTTTTTATAAACACAGTTTTGCGGTGTTGCATTGGTGCTATGAGATCTACTCCTATTGAACCACTTTATGTTGAGACAAGGGAACCGCCCAGTAAATTTAGAAGAGAATATCTCAGTCAAAAATTTCTTCCTAAAGTTTGTTGCTACAACACTTGTTTATATAAAGATATTAGTATTTTAAATTATTTCGACTTAACAAATAAATATTGGACTCGCAAGAATTCTCCACCGCTATGCGAAGCATTTCGAAATACTGCAAATAAAGATACTGAACTTATAGTTGCAAACAAAGTCGTACATTTTAAAGATTTCTTTGAGTTACTGGATCAAGTACATATAATACAACCTATTTATCATGAGAACCCTTTAATAAGTCGTATTGTTTTAAACAACTATCTGACAAATTGGCCAAAATCTGTTTGTATTTATACAGACGCATCTAAAAGTTCAAAGGGTACTGGTTGTGCCTTTTATATTCCAGATAAATTTATAGGAAAAATGTTTAAGCTGTCCACAAATTTCTCTATTTTTAGTGCTGAGGCTGTGGCCATATATGAGGCTTTAAAGTATTTTAAATTGGCATCGTATAGTTCAGCAGTAATTTTATCTGATTCATTATCTGTACTTACAGCTATTCAAAAACTGCAACTACCCTGTAGTACTTCTAATCCATACATTTTTTTAATTAAAAATTGCTTATTTAAAATTAATAAATACACCCAAAAAATACAATTGATGTGGATCAAAGCACATTCAGTACTTACATATAATGAACACGTAGACCAGTTAGCAAAAAATTCCATCTTTTATGGAACACTTACCAACTATCAACCTTGCATTATAGATGCTTTTGCTTGTTCAAGAACTAAACAAATGAACAACTGGAGAGAACACTGGGAAAAGTACTGTAGTATTTCAACAACACAATACAGTTTGATACAACCAATTATTCCAAAACAACCTTGGTATAAGAATTTCGTCCTTCCTCGCAAATACATAACTACCATCAGTAGACTTAGATTTGGCCATGCATGTTATCCTGTACATTTATTTAAAATAAATATATTAGATTCGGATATTTGTCAAGAATGTCAGATTAAAAGTGACTTAAACCACATATTTTTTGAATGTCAAAAGTATAAACAACCCACCAACAACCTAATTAAAAGAATGATAGACAAGAACATCCCTCTTCCTGTTAATATTCTCTTTCTACTATCTCTCAATGAGAAGAAAATGTATAACTGCTTAATAACCTTTTTGTCTGATAGTAAAGTATGCCTGTAATTAGTAAGATTTGTAACCTATGTTTAGAAAAAATTCATGAAAAAAATAATAAAAAAATTAAAAAAAAATTATTAAAAAAAACAGTTCAAAAAAAATAAAATAAAAAGAATAAAAAAAATACTTAAAAAAATAGATTTAAAAAGAAAAAAAAATATATAAATTAAAAAAAAGAAAAAAGATGATTATAAAAATACATTAAAACAAAGAACAAAATAAGAAAAAAAAATAAATAAATAAAAATATACTAAAACAATCACTAAAAGGATCTAAACCTCCGAGATGTTGAATCGGGTTTTGTCCTAACGTAGTGAAAAAAATATGTATTACCATAGTTGTAATTATTAACATAGTAGGTAGATATATTTTTATTTTTTTTTTATTTGTAAGATGTATACACTATGAATTTCTGATGGCGTCTCTTAATAACTAAATTATAATAAAGGTATGATATAGTATTTATTAACATAGTATGTACATTAGCTTAGCTGTTATTATTATTATATTAATCATGTTTCACTAATTGACATATTTAAATTCTTTAACAAAACTTATGTTGATGGAGACTGGCTGAATGACAATTGTCCAAGCCAAAGAGAAAAAAAAAATTCTTCTTAAGGTGCCTTCTCCATTACTGAAGGTTGGCTATAACTACAGCAAATTGCTCTTTATCTTGAGCTGTTTTTAGTATCGAATGTGTGCCCACGCCTATCCAGTCTCCTACATTCTTCAACCAGGAGCATTTTCTTCTTCCTGGACCTCTTCTTCCTTCCACTTTCCCTTCCATTATAAGTCGTAGGAAGTTGTATTTTTCCCATCTGTAAATATGTTCTAGATAACTCGTTTTTCTGTTTTTACACTATTTAGGAGTTTTCTCTCAGTACCCATTCTTCTTAGCACCTCGTTGTTGGTCACGTGCTCTGTCCAAGAGATCTTCAGCAACCTTCGAAAAACCCACATCGCAAAGGCTTCTATATGCCTCATGCTTGTAATTCTGAGAGTCCATGTTTCCACTCCGTATAGAAGTATGGAATAAATTAACGTTTTTACAAATTGGTATCGGATATCCAACGATAACGTAGAGTTTATTAAAAAATTTTTCATTACTTGAAATGTGGATGTAGCATATTCTTTACGAGCACGTATTTCGACCTCGTAGTCAAGATCGTTTGTTATCCAGCAACCAAAATACTAAAATCTTTGTACTGGTTCTATATGTTTGTTATAGATATGGATGCGGATGTTGTATATAACAACTTACAATCATCTCTTAAAAATTAGGCTGGTTTCTTTCATAAGATGTCTTTTGGTAGAGAAATATATGAAAAGAAGATAGATTTTTGGTATAAAAGCAAAATTTGAGAAGAATGAAAAAATAAATAAAAGCAATTTACTTCTAAATTTATTAGTAACCCAGTTTCTTCCAATCAATAAAGTATCCTAAACCATTATGTAAACCCTGCAATAGTGGATGTTTTTGTCCACAAACTCCTTTGTAATCATCATCTTCTAAAGAAAAAATAGCAACACCACCCAATTCATTTTGTTTTACGTAGTAGCCCTAAAACACAAATTATAGTAAATAGTGGTAATTTATTTCGTTTAAAATAAAAATTTTTTTAGAGAGACAACACAATATCCATTTACTTACTTTCCACCAAGTAGAAAGTGCGTCGTTGAAACCAATCCAGAACGTACTATTAGAAAAATAAACTGTTTTTGTGGCATTATCCCAACCTCTTTTAAAATTACGGAAATCTGAGCAGGTCTAAAACAAAAACGTTTATATTTTAAAACAGGTTTTATTATTTTTATATTTGACTGCTTACTAACTACACCTTGCAGTACTCTCGTTTTAGGATTTTAGAACTGTTAAAATAATTTGTTCCCAATCTAGTTTTAATATATTTCCGGTAATTACATCTCATTTCAAATCGAGTGGCGAGCCCTTTCACGAAATAGTTAATCGCGTACACAATAGAAAATCTATGATCAGACCTATGCAGTGGCGTTACAATATTCAACAAATTAAATTATTTGAAATCGCACTCATTACAAAATTATTACTCACTTAAATAATAAATGGAGTTTGATTTCACACAGATTGTTTTATAGATACCAAACTTTTTGTCTCTTATAATACCATCTTTAATAGTTAATACTCTATAAAATTTGCTAAAAGTTAATTTCTAAGTTAGTATTAGTTAGCTCAAAACCGTCATTAAAAAGTGATTATTAATGACTCCTTAACGAATCGTTAAGGACATACAAAGAACTGATAATGTTTTCAAAAATTTCTAGTTACTGTTACTCATTATGTTGTTGAGTCTCAACAAGAAAGGTGCTACCACGAGTATTATAACTATTTTGTAGAATGATGATGGTTAAGTGTAGTACAAGTAAACAGATCAGATTTACACCAGAATCCAAACAAATAGTTTACATTGTATTTATGTATATCTAACTACTATTTCCTGAAGATAATCAAACCCAGTATTAAACAACGTGTGAGTTAAGCTACTAGAGTATCTTTACGTACAGTAGAAAAGATTATTCAACAAGCGAGTATGTTGTAGCAAACACAGAGTTAATTAATACACTAAAATTTTCAGCTACAACACTTACTAAAAGGAAAGCACCCGTGACAGACTTGATGAGTATGACAAACAGTTCATTAGAAATACAATTCATCATTTTTATGAGACTAAACGTTGTCGTGTATCATTGAAGCTTCTGCAGAAAAGTCTTGAAGAGGTATAGGAGTGCACTGGAAGTGTGAGTTTTCTCTAAAGAATTGTGAAAGATTTGGGATTTAAATAAAAGAAAACAAAAGATAATCGACGTTTATTAATTAATCGGAATGATATTTAGAATAGCTCGAGACAGAGACAGTTTCGCCATGTTAATCGCCAACGTCAAGGGAACTTGATAGGGCACGTTAAGAAGAAGAAGATATTCGTACTCGACACATTAAATATTTGGACAAAATAAACTATTAGAGAAGCGAAGGTAAGTCAACTGTCTATGTTGATGAAACCTATGTACATGCAGGACACACTACGCCAAATAGCTGGACAGACGACAGTAGCAAAGGATTCTTCAAAAACATTTCAAAAGAAAGTAAATTGGTTATCGTACATGGTGGTTTATATTTTATACAGAATGCTCTTTTAATTTTTAAGTCAGGAGCTAAGATAGGAGATTATAATACTGATATAAATTTAGAAAATTATGGAAAATGGATGAAAGAACAGTTAATCCCCAATTTGCCTATTCGATCTATTGTTGTTACTGATAATGCACCATATCATAATGTACAAATTAGTAAAGTACCCACCAGTAATTCTAAAAAAATGAATAATATATCTTGGTTGACAGAAAACCATTGGTTTACCATTTGTAACGTCAATGTTAAAACAACAATAATTGTATGTAAATTTGACAAAGTGCTGCAAGAATGTGGACATGTTTCTTCAAAACTCCCGCCATATCATCCAGACTTGAACCCTATAGAAATGGTTTGGGCGCAAATAAAAATGAAGTTGCAAAACAACACGTTTATTTTAAGTGAGAAGACGTAAAAGTCTAGATAAAACAGGAATTTGCTGTAGGTAACTGGAAGAAAGTGTGTGAACATATTGTCAAGGTTGAAGATACGTATTTGGAAAGTGAACGTCGCATAGATGTAATTACTGAAGAATTAGGGGTTGATTTAAATGATTCTAGTGACGACGACAGTGCATCTGATTATGAAAGTGAATAATATAATTTAACATCACGATGTACCTTTGTAACTATGTCAATATAAGTTTTTAAACTGTCCTCTATGTATGTATTATTTTTTTGCTTTATTACGGTCATTTCGTATATTTTCTATTTAACTTTGTGACGTTTAAGTGAGTAATATTATAAACAATAAACGTTTTAAAGTTAAAACAATCTTTGTAATTAATATTTATTATTACTGTAATCTGTAATACGTATCTATGGTATTACAAACAGACAATATATATATATATATATATATATATATATATATATATATATATATATATATATATATATATATATATGTATATATATATATATAATATATATATATATATATATATATATATGTATATATATATATATATATATATATATATATATGTGATATATTATAATAATATGTATTAAAATGTAGTACAATATTGCCAAAAATATAATCTAATATAATTTTTTAATAAATTGTGTGTACCTATCTTTAACAATTTGATTTAAATCATAAGCATTTTTTGAACGCCACTTCTTTGTTTGGTGAGGCTTTACTGTTCCTAGAGATTTTCGCCACTACAGTTTAAAAATACTTTATTATCAGTTGCTGGTTTCAGCAATACGCCTGGTCATCATGTGACGAGCGCACGCGCAGCCGCCATTTTAACAACCATAGTTTCGTTGTAGAAAAGACAGAAGAAAAAAATTGTTTTTTGTTTTGTGGTTTCGTCCTCTTTCGATCAAAAATGGCTGGCAGTATTTTTTTATTTTAATACATATAATTTTATTTTAATTATTGATTTCAATCGAGTTGCATTACTTGCCGAAATATATTGACAAAAAAATATAATCGAAGCCTCCGGTCGTAAAACTTATTAAGTGTCGACTTAACTTGTTATATAATGCAGAAACTACTAATTTAATTTAAAGTTAAAATACTAAATAATTTAAACATAATATCGTCGGTCTAGAGCACACAGGTGTTAAGTGACTTTTTTGGCAAAATTAGTTAAATGCATTCCGAAATTAAGACTAGTAAGGAGTTTCGTATGTACACTGGAGCTAACTGATAATTATAATTTTTAATTAGCTAACGCCATCTAACAAAAGTAGTAAGTACTAATAAATTGTAGGAATCTAGCACAAAGGCTTAAAGAGCACTTAGTACCTTTGTGTTTCTTGTGCAATAATTACAAGTGAGTGAAGTGAATTATTTTGCGTTTTGAGGTTATGGGACAGTGATAGTTGCAAAGTTGTTATTTGATTTATGAAAAGTGGTATAAAATAGTTGTAATTATAATTATGGCGTCCAGATCGTAGAAGATACTGGAGATGGCGTTAGATGATGAAGGAAAAGAGTTTAAAGGTATAGTAAGGTGTCGACTGTAAAATCATCTTGTTTTACTTAAAAATAATTATTTATTTCAGTTGCCACAATAACTCTAGCATTGGAAAAAAACTACTGAAGGAGTACCAGGTAATGAAAAAAAAAACCAAAAAAACGTCGCCGCAGAAAGGCCAAGAAAAAGGAATGGAAAGGATCAGTTGTGAAAGAGTTAAGGATTAGTGCTACAAAATACATTAATCGCTATGGAAAGGAAATTACAGAAAAAAGTTATCTTCCAACAGATTGCTCTAAGTGCAGGATTGAATGTCAAAAACTATTTTCCGAAGAGCAAAGGGCACAACTGTGTGCAGATTACTACAGCTTAGCAGACTATACGAGCCAAAAAACGCTGTTGAGTTCTTTGATACAAATAGTGAATGTATCTAGAAGCAAACAAACCCCCATAACAAAAAATCAAGAAGAGTCAAGGTTATATCATTTAATAGATAACTATTGGCAAAGCCATCGAGTCTGCCTCAAGTTTTTTACAGCCATGTTTGCTATATCTCGTAAAGTCGTCAAGAAGTGTGTTGAAGGAATGATGTATAAGGAAATTTTTGTCGGCTATGATAAAAGAAAAAATAGCAAACCCCACAATTCAACTGCTGAGATACAACGGCAGCAAGTTAAGGATCATGTTAACTCATTTTCAAGAATTGAGTCGTATTACTGCAGGCGTGATTCAACCAAAAACTATCTAAATGAAGATTTAAATATTTCCATCATATACCAATTATATCAAGACTTTTGCACTTCTAATAGTTTAAGTCCGGTCTCAAAGTTTTGTGTTCCAAAGTATTTTTTATGATTTTGAACTAGCGCTTGCCTTTTATCGTCCAAAAACGGATCAGTGTTTGGTGTATAATGCATTCAAGCAGGCCAAGGAAAAGATCCCTTAAGAGAAGAGTATGAAAAGCATAAAAGAACCGAAAAACAGTCGATGGATATGAAAGAAGACTACAAAAAAACGGCAGCAGCCACGTTGGGAAAAACATTTAAAGCAATAACATTCGATCTGGAAGCTATTCTACCCGTTCCGTTTGCTGGTGATTCCCAGATATATTACAAGAGCCATCTAAATGTTAACAATTTTACAATTTATAATGGATCTTCTCGAGACGGTTATTGCTATGTCTGGGATGAAACTCATAGTAGCAAAGGTAGTTCTGAAATTGGGTCATGTCTGCTTAAATATCTACTTGACCTACCCAAAACTGTAAGTCACGTAGCTTCCTTTTCTGAAACATGCGGCAGTCAAAACAAAAATAAAAACGTTGCCACAGCGATGCTCTATGCCGTCAATACAAACAAAACTTATTTGACTTTATATAATGTTACAAACTTTGTTTTTGCAATTACTCGAATTAGCTATTTTTCACTTAGCACCTCTGTGCGCTAGACCAACGATATGTTAACACGAAAATAAATAGAACGGAAATCATACATACTCATTTTACAACAATATCCATTACCCTATTTATTTTTTTTTTTAACAAATTAGAAAAGTTTTATATAACATGTTTAAATGCAATCAGACTGAAAATAGAAAAACTATTTAAATTGATAAAAGTTTAATAAATGCAAATGATCAGTAAGTAATATATTGAACAAACGAACTTACAAAT